GTCCGAGACTGAGGCAGTGAACCCGGCACACCTGGCGTGTACGACGTTTTCACATATCCAGCAATGGATTGTAGGTTGGGATGAGGAAATTGTCTTGTTACAATACTTCCTAGCACAGACCAGTTTAAATTCCATATTTTTAATTAATAACAAACAAAATTAATAAATAAAAAGTTAAAAAAGCACTATACCTTGAACCACTGTGCGAAATAGGAAGCCGAAGCGGGAGCTTTTGAGAATGCAAAGGAAAAGTGCAGAAATATAGATAAGACGGGGAAGAAGCAGAGCTGAGCTATGCTTGGAATTGAATTTAGACAAATTATTAATTCGCCTCCAAATATACCACAGCACTCGCGAAGCGATACGGTTTAGGTTAAAAATTAATATTCTCAATAGATTCACAAGTAAGTAAACACCGGTTTACCAATATTTATGATAAAGACAGTGCGTACCAAAAAAACACGACCGTTCGCTTAAGAGGAGAAGAGAGAAGTGAAGAGAGATTTTCTAGGCCTGGTAATGGTCTGGTAATGTGGTCTGGTCACGGTCTGGTAATGTGAGCATATCCATTGTATTGGACCACCATACCAAGTTTATTTTTCTAAAAGCAGTGAAGAAGTTGTCCCCGTTGTCCAAACTTTTGGCGTGCCAGAGTCGGTGGTTTTAGATAATGGCACCCAGTTCAAAGAAAAAGCATTTAAAGGTTTGATGGAGAGGATAATGATATCAAGTACCAAGTTTTTACGGCTCTGTATTTGCCACTTGCAAACGCGTCTCAACGAGTGAATCGCAGCGATTCGGTCTTACGTTAAGACAGACCAAAATAATTGAAATGAGCATCTTAGCGACATCAGTTGTTCCTTGAGGACGGGAATAGATACGGGGCTGTCCCGTTTATGATTCCTAAAAATATATATGTTTAAACAAAACATTGTAACGAACTGTTTTCTTTGCTTCCGCTCGCCACAATATGCCGCGGCTAGCTCACAGAGTCTGCGGGTTAGTTCCACCGAATTTATAGTTCAACGTGATTGCCCGAGCCCAGAAATAATACAAATAGCTTTTATTTTATGCAGTCTCTTTATTTGCTGCTCCTTCTGTTTTCAATGATGGTTTAACCGGGTTTCCGAGAACGGGCCCCACTCCGAATATTCGTGACCCTTGCTGCCTCCTTTGGCCGTCCTGATGGTCTGCTCCGTTGCTGGTGCTTCCGTCGTTGCTCTCGTTGCCGGGGGTTCCTCTTTGGTTTTCTGTCGTCGAGCCTTCCACCTCTTTGACTTGGTCTAGTCAGGACTTCGGCTGCGCACTGAAAGGCTTCCACTAAGTTGCCGGGGATACCGCGCCTACGCGCTGTACCGCCGGGCTCGGGAGTTGGCGGGCTGTAGCCTCCGCTACACCAGGAGAACGCCGTGCTTTGCGCGCCAGCGAGTCTGGTTTGGGAGATAGCTACTGACTGTCGCCTCTGCAACACCAGGGAGACACGCCGTGCATGCGCACCGGCGGACCTGGTTCGGAGTTTGCTGCCTACAGTCGGCTCCGCTACGCCAGAAAAACGCCGTGCTTTTCGCACCGGCGAGTCCGGTTTGGGAGATGGCTACTGATGGTCGCCTCCGCAACGCCAGGAAGACAAGCCGTGCATGCGCACCAGCGGCCCCGGTTCAAAGTTTGCTGCCTACAGCCGGCTCCTCTACGCCAGGAAAAACCGCCGTGCTTTTCGCACCGCGGGCCTGGATTGGGAGTCGCCGAAGTCTTGTCAGTCCCGACGGGGTCGGAAGTCGCCTGTCCAGGACCGTATGTCACGTCTCCCTTTGGCCGGGTGACCACCGCGCGTACGCGTCAATGGGCCCGGATCAAGAGCTGCTCGGTGGGTGATCGGCACTTCCCCGATCGCGTTTCTAAATGTGCGCGAGTTCTCGAGTCGGCTTATACGTGCCTTGCAGGACCACGCCTGTTGGTTGCGAGTCAGGAATCCGTGTGGCGTGCGCCAGACTTAGTCTTTCCTCACTTCCTGGCAAGGCTACCTGTTTTGACCGGGAATGGCCCAACTCGACTCTGATACCCTATAGCTGTCGAGGAAACCGACCGACACCGATCCTTTCTCGTTCTGTCTTTAGCGTCTTTTGGAGCAAACCGGGCTCGGGATCCTGAGTTGGCCTGTCCTTTCCGTTGCAGGTCCACGCCTGTTGGTTGTGAGTCAGGAGTCAGAGAGCGGCGTGCGCCAGACTTGTCCTTCCCTCACTTCCTTGCAAGGCTACCTGCCGGGGCCAGGAACCGGTCCAACTCGTCTCCTGTCGCCTAGGTCTTTCCAAGGAACTGTCCCAGTACAGATCCTTTCTCGTCTTGCTCGTTCTCCTTGCGTTTGGCTGTTGGACTCTCCAAAGGCGGTCCTTCAACTCAAACAAAACCGAATCCTTTTTAGAAACGCTCTAACACTTGAATGGCGGACTCTCCACAGGCGGTCCTCCAACTCAACGCAACAAGCTTCCTAAAAAGACTCGTCCCGAGCCGCTCCAATGGGCCTCCTTTTATACTGACTGGAGCGCCCGTTAATCCTCCTGGATTCTGCTCCACAGATCACGCCACTTTCCCTTTGGCGGGCTGCCGTTACTCCTGCTTCCAATATCACGCCACTTTCCCGCTGGCCGGCGGCCGTTACTCCTGCTTCCAATTTCACGCCACTTTCCCGCTGGCAGGTGGCCGGCCATGCGGCCGTTGCCCTTTCCTTTCGGCCGCTGACCCCTGCTGTTGCTATGCGATGCGCCGCTGGCCTCCTTCGCCTCCCCGTTGCTCCTTGCTCCTTTGCTGCTACTAGTCTTGTCGCACATTCTGAACACAGCTGCGCGGTGGGCTCATGTCCTCACCGTTGCCTCGGAAACCGTTACGTTCCACGTTGACTCCGTCTTCCCCCTCGATGATGGAGCTCTGCCCCTCACCGCCCTCACTGCCTTTCCATTCGTCCACTGGTGCTCCGGGAACCGTTACGTTCCACGTTGATTCCGTCTTTGCACTCGATGGTGGAACCCTGCCCCTCCCCGCTCGTATTGGTCCTTGGGGTATCTCCTGCGGCCACCTAATGATTGGCCGGTGCTGCTCACGCCCTGTCGCCGCTCTCGCGCCTCCCCTTCTCGCGCGCCTTATTCATAAATTTTTTTTTTTTTTTTTTTTTAACGTTGCTTTTATTTCTTGAATCTTCTCTTTGCGAGACTAACAAGAGGTGTATCAAATCTTATATTTTTAACTGAACTAACAGTCATATTGACTGATACGGAGTTAGACGGCCCTAAAAATCGATTGCTGGGTTGGGAGGTCGTTGCGTCTAAGGCGGGATACGCTAGAAACCCGAGTCAATCCCCGAGCGAGAAAATTTGGGTGCGAAGACAGTTTTTCTTTGTATGACTCTTTTTGCTTCTGGATTTCGTCTTTCACTGCGAGGATGCCCAGATCCCGGTGGATGTTTTCGTTGCGAACATACCAAGGTGCCCCTGTGATAGTTCTCCGGATTTTTGATTGTGCGCGCTGTATGATGTCTATGTTGCTGCTGCTCACGTTCCCCCACAGCTGGGAGCCATACGTCCAGATTGGCTTTAGGACTGAATTGTACAGTAGTAACTTGTAGTCCAGGCACAGTGGCGATCGTGAGTTTATGATCCAGTGGAGGCTGCTGGCTTTCAGTTTTAGATGCATCTTTTTGCATTCGATGTGCTTACGCCAGGTAAGTCGTCTATCAAGGTGAACGCCAAGGTACGTTACGTCGTTAGCTTGAGGGATCTGCATACCGTTTAGTAAAAGCGGAGGGCATGTTTGTCTATTAAGAGTAAACGTTATATGTTACACTTTTGTTCGTTTATTTTAATGCGCCGTCGGACAGCCACCTTTCCACTATTGTGAGATGATTAGCCAGTTGGGTTGTTGCCTGCGTTGGGCATCTGGAGCGACTAAGAATAGCGGTATCATCGGCGAACGTTGACGTTGTTAGTTGTGCGCTCGTTTATTCATAAATAAATGTAAAATTTTTTCTGAAGTATTAAAAAATATAATACAACAAATAATATAATTTCACCTAATAACGAATACCCGGGTTTTTTTTTGCTAGAATGCGTGACAAAATAGAAAAATCATAAATTGTGCACGCACACATGCACCCGTGTATGTGAATATGTGACACACATGCATACAAAGATCAATCGAGGCGCAGACCAACCTTTTTCATGGTGGTCCTTTCGACAGGCCATGCACTCATTTAATAAATTTCCAATTTTTTTATGAAGAAGCGGGGATCTTACGGGGAGAGGAAAGCGTTAAGGGAACGCACCCCTTAGCCGACGAGATCTACACCGGCAATTGCGGGCACTTCGACTCTAACCCTATTTTTCAGATGCAAGAGCTTCGCGGCATTTTTACGATCTTCTGAGAGCTAGAACCAAAGATTATACCTTATGGATGAGAAATCGGGACCAAAAGGGTCAACTTTTAGTCTCCGAGCTTCTTGATGAAGGGGGGAACGCAACGGATTCTATTTTTAGAACTCTTTTCATGTATGTGTAAAAAATGTTTTGTATGCATGCGTCACTGCCCGCACGACGGGTAAAAGTATTTTTGTTTCCAAATGTCAATTCCTGTCGATTTTGGCTTCTGCTGAATGAGCAAGAGGACAATAGGGGTCGTATTTATCACTGAACAAATAACTGCCTGGTGTATCATTTTACCACTCGGCTATCCATAACTCGTTGTCACGCGAAAAATTTCCTAAACTTATCCTGTTTGCTCTGGGGAACCAGCCATTGGAACACTATTGTTTCTATGAACTGTCCCATCTATGTACTGCATAATCCTTGCTATGACTTTGTAAACCACATATTCAACGTAAGTTATAGGGACGACTTACAGAGAAAAAATATTTTTAGTTTTTGATTCGCAATTATATCACCCCCATTTATATATTGTTATTGTTTAGTGTTCTTTTCCATCTGTTTCAAAAAATAAATAAAATGTATTAATTTTAATATTTTACAATGCAGGAAGGTGTATTAAAAATACTTTTTTTATTAGTCTATTTAAAATTACGTAGAAGATACAAGTTTGTAATGTAATTAATTAAAAGTAAGAATTTGCGATCTAGGAAACATTTCAGTTTAGAATTACCCAAGTATATTAATTAGGAATTTCTTTTTGACGTGCGAAAATATGTACATATATATGTATATGTTAGTAGTGAAAACTTTCCATGACGCCTGTCAGTAGATTTTGACTAAAAGTATATCTAAAAAATGTTTGGAAAATGAAAAACAATTTTGTTGAAGATTCTTTACCAACCAATAAACTAGCTGCATATACATATTTACCAGAAAGTTACAAGTACAAATAAAAAGCATTGATTTACTTGTACGTGCATATTTACATACATATGTATGTTATACATATTTACAAAACAACATTGCTATGGTCAACAGTGTTATGATTGTATGGCCTTACATACATACATATGAACGTATGCATGTATTTATATTAATGATTTTGAAAAGTGAACATAACTCTGGCACTTTTCTTGCATATGAACGTATATACATATGAACGTATGCATGTATTTATATTAATGATTTTGAAAAGTGAACATAACTCTGGCACTTTTCTTGCATGCTTACATACATACGTATGTGCATACTTCAAACAAAAAGTGCCGCCCACCTAAACAGACTTTTGCTGTAAGCACACACACAAGGGCCACTCTAATTTTGTTTTAGTGCGTTTTTTGCCGTCAAAAGTTGACTACGCTTTCCTGAAATATATCCTATTCACTGTGCATAATCAGTGCAAAATCATTTAATCGTTAGAGTATGCATGCACAAGCCTCTTGCACCAAAAGAAACTTAAAAGAAATCGACGTTTTAAGTGATTCCGACTGAAATACATAACCTCTTCCTATCGTAGTATATTGGTTTTTAATGATTCGTAAAAATATATATGTATATACAAAACATTTTTCTGCTGACACTTAATCTTATTCCTAAATAAATGTAAAATTTTTAATGAAATATTAGAAAATAGAATATAAAAATAATATAATTTCTTTGGTAATTTCACCCAGTACCCGGTTTTTTTTGGGTAGCAAGCCTGAAAAGTTAGAAAATCAAAAAAATTTTTTTTTTTTTTGATGTAACATTTGAAAGTTTTATTTACAATCTGTCCACAGTTAGGGACAATAGTTAAATTATTTAAGTGAACCTTGACAATAGGAGTTTGATAAATACAAGCTTAAATCTAAAAAGTTTATTTAGTAGTGGTGCTGCTGTCCAGCAAATTGGTGGCACATGTGTTGGGATGTCGTGTTAGTCTGTCCTTGTATTTAGCGGCGAATCTTCTAACTTCAGCGCTGTAGGGATTCCCAGTTGAGCATGAATAGTCAAATTGTCATGGTAAGGATGAGCCCCTGACAGCGTCCAATATGTGACACGCATAAATTTTTTTTTTTTTTTTTTATCAATCAATCAATAGTTATATTTAAAATCTGTCGGAAGTTATGGACAATAATTAAATTGTATAATGGGACCTTAACTTAATGAAATATTGAGTAGTACAATGTTTGCTTATCCTAGGAAACTAATTTTAACAGTAGACCTTAGCGATAGAATTCAAGTTAATTATTGTCGGGCCCTTTAGTGGGCCTTGTTAGTTTTACAACTGCAGCTCAGTCCCGTTCGCCCGAGTGGCAGAGGTCCAGTGGGTGGGCCCGTTTCAGCCTCCTTGTGGTGTAGCTGTTGTCCAGAAGATTGATGGCCTCAGGGTTAGGATGTCGGTCCAGCCTTACCACGTACCTATTGGCGAATCGCTGAACTTCTTCGCTCACATATGGGACTCTCAGTTGGGCGTGGATTGTCGCATTGTCGTGGAACGGATGAGCTCCAGTTAAAGTTCTTAGGGCCTTGTTTTGGGCGATCTGAATGATCCTTCGGTGACACGCATAAATATAAAGATCAATCGAAGCCCAGACCAACTTTCTTCATGGTGCTCCTTTATGGGGAAAAATTTCAACGGGATGAGAAAAAGTACAGTTTGGCTCTGGTATGAACTGGGATTATTAATTTCGCACAAAAATTAACAAAATGGACTTTTGAAATTTTTTATTTTTTAATTGCCTTTTTTCAGCCAAAAATTAAGTTGAAAAGTAAAGAAGATCTTCACCGATTTGATTTATCCTAGTTCATATCGTAGTTCGAGAAAAACGCTTTTAAAGTTTTGAGGCTGCTCTCGCCATCTTCCAGAGTTTTTGAAATTTTAAAGGAACATTCTTGAATAGTTATAAGTTCGAATTAAATAAAAAAAAATCGATTTTTTGAAACCGAGAATGGGGGGTTGCCCCTTAAGAGACTGAAAAACAGAAAACATTCAATCATTATATGAGCATAAATGGACCCATCCAGAGGCGAGCATTTTGGCGAACATGCTCGCCTACTTGAATTTCATTTGCCCATCAACTAGAGCCAACATGTTCACGAAAATCATTTTTAAATAAACATTCAAGCAATCAAGCTCTGTAGTTGTGCTGATGGAAATAATTTTTTGCTTTGAAAAAAAGAAATAAATATAATTTTTATTAATTTCATAAATTATTTACTCATTTCGGGCTCAAGCACTTGTTATCGGTATTAAACGTTTTCTCAAATGATGTTCGTGCCAACGTTGCCATCCATTGGCGAGCATGTTGTTGAGCATGTTGTTGCCAACGTAGACAAAATAGAATGATTTAAATTTCATTCGAGTATTTTGGCAAACAAAAATTTGACGACGAACACCATCATCCACGGAAAAAATTTGTGCGAGCACAACATGCTCGTCTGTAGGTGGGCCCTTTAAGATGAACGAAAGATGAGCGTTAGAAAGAGAGTAAGATCTCTCTCTGGAGCCTGCTGGGGCCTGTCGCAAGAAATTTTTGCGTCCATTTTCGTTGTATGAAAAGGGGTAGTCTATATGCTGTATGCGGTATTAAAACATTTTCCAAAAAACATTTCCATTTTCCTTTTGGTTCCGATTCGGTTCCAGTGACTTTGCATTTCCCATATGAAAAAGCAATTCCAACAAAAAAGAAGCAATGGGTTTTGGGCACTCCTGGTATAAAGTACTTCTATGTTGTCACCCTAAAAATTTTAAAGTGGTAAATTTGTCTCGTATTTTTTTTTTTCGTGATCTTACACTAGCTAGTGCTAGTGCATAGATAGCAATTCTGCATTAATCACAAAGCTTGGAGGCCCAACCGACCGAGAGGGCGCTGCGGCTTGAATCGCAAGAACCGAGTTATTAGGTGAATAGATATTGAAAAAAAAATTTTTTTAACCATTGTAGTTCGAGCATAAGAAGAAGAAGGTTGTGTCGTGCATTCGTCGAACTACAATGTATAAGGACTAGATGAATAAAGTTTCTAGTCCTTCTATTAGTCCTTTAATATTGAAATTTAAGCGTGTTAGTAAATGCTGGCTATCTACATCACCTTTAATAAGTTTTTAGGCAGAGTCAGCTACAATACGAACGAAGATAAAGAGTTGCATCCCAGTTAAAACCTTTAGGAGCCAATATTAATAAATTCTTTTGTACAGATTCTATGCGGTCTTAATGTACTCCATATTAGGGACTTCAGACACATGAAACGAACTCCAGTATGGGACGTACCAAAGAATAAAATAAACTTTCAGTAATGTAGAGCTTGTTAAATTCTAAAACCAAAGATTATAAAGTACATAGATGGGACATATCATAGAAACAAAAAATTTTGCTTTTCATATTGAGGAATCTAGTCCCGCAATGTTTTGTCAAATCAAAGCTTTAGTTATGAAGAGATAAGAAAGGATTAGGATTATGAATTTGCACTTGTTTTGCTAACACTTATGCTGCTTCCTAATCCTTCCTTATCTCTTTCCTTATACACATTGCAGGTTCATCATATAGTATAATTTCAAATCATATAAGCATAATATAATCAAACCGAACAACATATTTAAGGGGTCACGCCACCCTGAAATTTTCAAAAAATCGATTTTTTTACTTAATTTAAAAGACTATATTCTTACGCGTATTTTAAGACGTCCCCGAAGACAATATCTTGATAATTATGGAAGTTATGTTTATTTGAAGTCGGCACGGCAGGAGTGCACCTAAGACACTTCTTTTTCTTCTTTTGCGTTTTTCTCAAAACCACTTTTTTCAAGACGGTGGGCATGATAACTCAAAAACTGTTCAACCGATTGACTTGAAATTTGAAACACTTCTTCTTACATAGATTTTCCACAGAGTGACGTAGGATTTTTTCGATCCAATGGATAGAAATTTTTTTATGCAATTTTTAGTACGAAATTTTTTGTCCAAAGCATTGAGTCAAGTTTTGAAGTGCTCTCATTTGCGTAATTTTTTTTTTTTTCTAAAACGTCTACGTCACTCTGTTCCAAATTTATTACTTTTTAAAAAAAAATTTAGTTGACTTTTTTCTGATGAAAATTGACACGTGAATCATGCCCACCATCAAGGAGCACTCCGGAAAAACCCATGATCGCCGATGTTCATATCTCCGCCATTTTGAATTGAAAACAAATTTTTTTTTAGAATTTATAAATCTCATTTGTTGTATTAAATAGAAATAAAAGTGGAAAAATCCTATCTCAACTAGTTTAGTCACAAAAAATTTCTGAAAAACCGTCCCGTTTCCACGCGGTCAGGGTGGCGTAACCCCTTAAACAAAATTATGCACCTTCGACTTATTATGCAATAACATAGAAACACTCATGGACGTTTTAAAGACCTACTACCCATCAAGTTGGACAAATGAGTTTTCAGTTGACTTAGGAGAAAAGCAAAATAATACCGATGTGTGCTTTTTGATTTCGGTAGATTTCGTTCTGACAAGTGAGTCAATGACGGGGGGACATATGAGTAAAATTTTGAAAAAATCGACACATTTTTTTTTTTGCTTAAAAAATTCTTTCCGGCTTTAAAAAAAACATACCATAAAATAGAGTCCAACAAAAATGTCTAAGAGTCAAAATTTTCCATTCTGCGGCTTTGCCTTACAGGTATATCCTACAGTACTTAAAACTTTAAACGCGTTTTTCTCGAAA